GATGTACTGTTTATGAGCTATGATTATGATACATTTGATGTATTGACACTTTCTATAGTTTTATGGATTAGTGTTTGATTCATTACGTACTATGCATACTTTAATATGTTATGAAATCCGTGTATCATTATGAATGATACTAAACTCCCTGGTCTTGTGTCATTGTGGGAACAACGACATAATAAGACTAGTATGATGTGTGATAGATGATCATAGGAATGATCATAGGTATTGGATACGATCACAGTCATAGGTATTCGTTGGAGAACGAAATACTGGATTGACCCGCATGAGATTGTCACATGGATTAGAGTCATGACTTGAATCTCATATGACGGTTCCATGATCGGATCCTAAGACCTGAGATATCTACCGAATCCAACATGAGGAGTTGCGTGCTTTGATTACGTCAAACGTCCTGCGTAACAGGAGGACTATAAAGGCGTGTATCAGGTACGAAACGAATCATGTACTGGATTGTAGATAGTCAAGACGGGATTTGTACCTCTCGTAAAAGAGAGAGATATCGCTGGGCCCCTCGTGTGAGCGAGACTGTAGAAATGTGTGGCCGCACTATAGACGAACGTCGTCTATTTCAGACAGTCGAACTCAGTGAACGAGAAAGCAGTCGAATCAGATAAGGTGGCTGGTCCATGCCTTATGTTCGACATATGATATCACGATACAAAAGGATCATCAACCGGAATCATCACTGGCATTAGGGGTGGACAAAAATACCCGAAAATCGAGTACTCGTCTCAACCCGAAGGTCGGGTATCCGAAAATCGGATACCCGTTTTATAACGAGATAGAGATCGGGTTTAAAAAATGTGAAAACCCGAAATTCGAGTTCGGGTTCGGGTTATCATTTTAAATTCGGGTAATTACCCGCAGGTACCCGAATTATAAAGAATTAGCTATATACCCTTATATTATTAAAAAATTACAAAAATACCTAGGTCAAAATATTTTACTCCTTTTTCTCTTTCTTCCGCCAACTTCACTCTTTCTTTTTCCTGCAACTTTCTCCCTCCTCCGTTTCTCTGTAAAATCACTCCTTTCATCTTTTTCATTTTTTTTATTCTCATTTTGTCATCATCTTGCCTCTTGTAAGTATTTTTATTTATTTGTTTGATTATTGTTTCGATTTTGTCTTCTGCATCTGTTTTTATATTTTTTTACTCTCTCTCTCACACATTTTATTTATTTGTTTGATTAGTGCTTCGATTTTGTCTTCTGCATCTATTTTTATATTTTTTTATTCTCTCTTGCACACGCTTCTTCTTCTTCTTCTTCTTCTTGTTTTATTCATTTGTAACATAATATATGTTAGATATATTGAAATTCTTTGTAATATAAGAAAGTCTACAAACTATTATTAAATCGTATAATATGGTACATCCCTATTTTTTTGTTTCGTTCTTTTTTTATGTTAATGTTTTTTTTAAACTCTTTTTTATGGATTGCAGATGTCTTCTTCTATAGATGAAAATTTGGAGGCACCAGAAGTTCTATCTCAAGCAAATAAACCAATTGCTTCGGTATCAGTGGATTGTGCACGAAATGAAGATGTGTCTAATGATAAAAAGGTACCATTACCCCCTAAATCTAAGTCTGAGGCCTGGAATCATTTTAAAAAAACTAATGAAGGGAAAAAAGCTATATGCAACCATTGTGGTGTTCAAATTAGTTGCATGACGACTACAGGTACATCAACGAGTGCTATGTTGAAACACTTGAGGGTTTGCAAGAAATTGATTCGTGAAGAGGATAGTTGTGATGTACAAAATTCCAAAAGGCTGAAACAGACGACTTTGTTTCATCAACCGAGAAGTGATTATTCTAAAGGGGTTTCTTCATTTACGACATTTAATCAAGAAGAATGTCGTAAAGCTCTAGTCAAATTTATCAAAATGGATGGACAACCTTTTAAATTGATTGAAGGACAGGGATTCCGACTTTTGGTAAATGTGTTTCAACCTCGGTTTGTTATGCCGTCGAGAAGGACAGTAACTAGAGATTGCATGAGCTTGTTTTTAGAGAAGAATGTGTTGCGGGATTTGTTCAAGAAACACAAAGGAAGTGTTTCTCTCACAACGGATACTTGGACATCCGTTCACAACATCAACTACATGTGTTTAACGGTGCACTTTGTTGACAGTGAATGGAATTTGCATAAGAAGATTATCAATTTTTGCCAAATATCTAGTCATGCAGGAGAAGCAATTGGCAAGATGGTAGAAAAATGTTTGAATCATTGGAAGATTCAAAAAGTTTTTTCTATCACAGTTGATAATGCAAGTGCTAATGATGCAACATTGCAATACTTGAAAAAGAGGTTTAAGACATGGGGAACAAGTATTTTAGATGGTGAGTTTTTGCATATGAGGTGTGGGGCTCATATTTTGGGTTTGATTGTTAGAGATGGTTTGTCTGAGATACATGAGTCTATATTTAGAATTCGAGGTGCTGTTCGTTATGTTAGATCCTCGACAAGTAGAGCAGACAAGTTCAAGGAATGTTTAATTCGTAAAAAGTTGTCCACTAAATGTGGTGTCTGTTTAGACGTTGAAACTCGGTGGAATTCTACATATCTGATGTTGGAGTCGGCTATAAAACTTAGGTCGGGATTTGATATGCTTGCTTCTATGGATGATAAGTATGTTGCTGATTTGAGGAAAAATGGATTTGGTCCTCCAACGGCTATTGATTGGGATTATGTAGAATCCTTATTACCAATCCTTGAATGTTTTTACGAAGCTACTTTGAAGGTGTCTGGTACACGATATGTCACGGGGAATGAGTATATGAAGGAAATTTTTGCTGTAGGATGGAAGATTCAACAGGTTATGGATTGTGATGATCCATTTAAACGATCTATGGCTGAGAGGATGAAAAAGAAATTTGACAAATATTGGTTGTCAGATGACATCAATGTGATCATTTTCATCGCAACTGTGCTTGATCCACGATTTAAGATGACATATGTCAATTTTATGATTAAGGAGATCTACACCGATGAAGATAAGGCCAGTGAGATGATTGGAAAAGTGAAGTTAGCCTTGGAAAATCTGTTTGAATATTACAAGTCAAATAGGTTTGTTGAAACTCAATCGTCAAGTAGTAGCCAAGTGGACTCAGAAGTGACATCAAGTGGGACTAGTTCTGAAGTGACAAAGCGTACATCATATGCTTATTTGCTTAAGATGTTTAGGAATTATAGAGACACTGGGCACACCTCCAAAAAGAATGAGTTAGAAGCCTATTTGGAGGATGTTCCCGAGAATGAAGAGAACAAAGATTTGGATATTCTTTATTGGTGGAAAAATACCGGTTCCAAATATCCCATTCTTTCTGATATGGCAAGAGATGTGTTGGCTATACCGGTATCAACCGTTGCTTCCGAGTCTGCTTTTAGTACAGGTGGTCGTGTTATAGATCCATACCGTAGCTCTTTAAGTACTCGACTTGTTGAAGCGCTCATTTGTACACAAGATTGGATTCGAAAGGATTATACGACACCGGTCACTATACAAGCAATGTTGGATGATCTCTCTGCCTTTGAAGAAGGTATATTTTTTATTACTTGATTGTTCGTATATGTTAGATTTTGCATACTCTAAAGTTTAAACTAAATGTTTAATTTTGCAGATTTTCCATCAAAGCCTTCATTTGAGAAAGAAGCGGGTTATTTAACCGAATGATGAGGTGTTTCAATATTTTTTGTTATTGATTTTTGATTCTAACATGTTTTTCATTCTAACTTACATATATATATTTTTTTGTTTGTGAAGGTATGTTCCTCATATGTGTTCAAGAATTATGATGGATTTTGGATATGTTTGGAACGTTGTGGAACTTGTGAAATTTATGTTTTCTTTATGTTGTTGAACTTATGAATCATGATGTATTTTGGATTTTATTCAACTTATAATTATTATGAGGTATTTTGGATATATTTAGATGTTGAATTTTATGTTATTTGGTGTATTAATTTTGTAAAATTGTTCAGATTTTTTTTTTAATTTTGCACGAGTTCGGGTTCGGGTCTCGCGTGTACCCGAACTCGTGTCTCGGGTATCCGAGATTCGGGTACCCGGGCGTCGCGAGATAGAGATCGAGACATTCCAATCAAAAACCCGACGAGACTGAGAACGAGATAAAGACATCCTGAAAAGTCCGGGTACCCGCCCGTGCCCACCCCTAGCCGCAACCAGTGGACAACAAGGATGATTCAGGTTGCGTTGTAACGCTATGGTATGTACCTGACTGAATAGTTCTGTTTCTCCGAATATTCACACTTTGATTTCTTATATGGAGGATGCTCATGAAATCTGGAAACGTCTCCAAAATTGTTTTCTTCAAACCAATGTTTCTAAGATTTACAGCATCCAACACCAGATTGACAACCCCTATCAGGGTTCTCTTGATTTGAACACTTATTTCACCAAACTAAATACCTTGTGGGAAGAGTTGAAACACTATGAATCATTGCATGTCTGTTGTTGTAAGGTTGCACCTATGGAGGGTGTAAATGTCGTATTAGTGATCAGTGGTCTAGGCTATTTGAGAGACTGAATGTTGTCCGTTTTCTGATGAGACTGAATGACTCTTTTACGTATGCTAGATGACAGATCCTGATGACTGACCCATTACCTGATATTACTCGTGCCTTTAACCTTGTTGCCCAGGAAGAACAACATAAATTCAATGTTTCGACTGTCCCTGATGTTGTTGCCTTCCAAATCACCACAAATCCTTCCCGTTTTTACTCTTTTCCTTCTTCCACTCCACCTACTAAAAATCCTAGCCCTATTCCTTCAAATCCTCGCCCTCGACCTGTTTGTACCCACTATGGCATGACAAGCCACATTGTTTTTTGATGGTTTACCCTTCATGGCTACCCACCAGGTTATAAGGCAAACTCTGATTGGAATTCTCGCTCTTCAGGATCTAAATCTCGACCTCAGTTTTCTAATAAGTTGCAGAACAAGATTAATATGGTTGATTCAACCTTGGTTTCTACTGATGCTTCGACAAAAGGTGTTCCTAATGATTATGCAGGACAGAACACCTTGGAGCAGGTTCAGTCGTTTTTAGCTCAGTTGATATCTCAGCAAAAGGGTCAAAGACCCTCTTCCATGGAATCAAATCTTGCTCTGCCTACCCCCACCATCTTCAAGTATTTTTATTTCTCATCTTGTTTTTGCAACATCACACGATATGTCACGGGGAATGAGTATATGAAGGAGATTTTTGCTGTAGGATGGAAGATTCAACAGGTTATGGATTGTGATGATCCATTTAAACGATCTATGGCTGAGAGGATGAAAAAGAAATTTGACAAATATTGGTTGTCAGATGACATCAATGTGATCATTTTCATCGCAACTGTGCTTGATCCACGATTTAAGTTGACATATGTCAATTTTATGATTAAGGAGATCTACAATGATGAAGATAAGGCGAGTAAGATGATTGGAAAAGCGAAGGCTGCCTTGGAAAATCTGTTTGAATATTAAAAGTCAAATAGATTTGCTGAAACCCAAGCGTCTAGTAGTCAAGTGGACTCAGAAGTGACATCAAGTGGGACTAGTTCTGAATTGGCAAAGCGTACATCAGATGCTTATTTGCTTAAGATGTTTAGGAACTATAGAGACACTGGGCACACCTCCAAAAAGAATGAGTTAGAAGCCTATTTGGAGGATGTTCCCGAGAATGAAGAGAACAAAGATTTGGATATTCTTTATTGGTGGAAAAATACCGGTTCCAAATATCCCATTCTTTCTGATATGGCAAGAGATGTGTTGGCTATACCGGTATCAACCGTTGCTTCCGAGTCTGCTTTTAGTACAGGTGGTCGTGTTATAGATCCATACCGTAGCTCTTTAAGTAC